CTTCCCATCCCCCCGCCTTCTCCCAGCCGGCCCTTCCCCCCCGCCCCGATCAAGTGTGTCCAGTATTTTTTCTGAAGCTACCTGGTAACCCTAATGACTGATGTTAATGTGCTATTTCCACTAGGCTGCTAACACAGTGGAAATAGCACATAGAGTGGATTTGGTCCAAACTTACCCTTTTGTTAGGCTTACATTTATGATTAATTTAAATAAAACATACATATCAACCTACATTGATTTATTAGGTTCACAGTTCCAAGAATTAGTTTTGAGGTTAATAGGATTTCTGTGAGCTGACATCGGAATGACTCAACAATCCACTAGGCTGCTAACACAGTGGAAATAGCACATAGAGTGGATTTGGTCCAAACTTACCCTTTTGTTAGGCTTACATTTATGATTAATTTAAATAAAACATACATATCAACCTACATTGATTTATTAGGTTCACAGTTCCAAGAATTAGTTTTGAGGTTAATAGGATTTCTGTGAGCTGACATCGGAATGACTCAACAAAAATAACTGCATATTTATGCAGGATTTCATTTCTGATTTCATGGTGTCTCCGCAGAAAAGCTCTATTCAGGACCAAGGAATCGTGTATATCAACTAATTGCAATATTATGCTTTCTAGTGGTTCCAAGAATTTCAGCACCTGTAGTGCCGATGATTTTGAGAATCTCATTTTGAGTGGTGGAGGAAACTGTCTTAAAAATGCTCCAAAACCAAGTGATGTTTTCACAGAACCTTTCTGTGGAAATAATGTAGTGGATAAGAATGAAGAATGTGATTGTGGAAAACCACAGGTATTGTACTTCATCCAGGCTTTAATCTCAACCTATTTTGTACAAAGAAGTTCCATTAATATGTGAGGGATATTTTTCTTTGCAGTTTTACTTTTTATTTGAAATCTTATAAATACAAATAAGAATGAGTGACAAGCCTAAAATCAAATTTTCATTAAGGATTACATCCACTTCTGCTTGAAGTCAGTGGATGTAGCCCTTAATGAAAACATGATTGACTTCATGGGAATATGGCTCAAAAAGTGAGGGTTAGGGAACTTCAGGCCTGGGGGCCGGATGCAGCCCCAGGCTTGCCTGGATCCAGCTCCTGTGGCTCTGGGATCCCCACACACCTTGGGGAGCTTGTGCTGGCGCTCCAGTCCCCTGCCACCCACCCACAGGGCTGGAGCACAGAAAATCTACCAGCCTGTGCCCCCCTGGGTTCTGGTGTGCAGGGGGAATGGGAGGAGTGTCTTTCTCCTTCTCAGTTGGGGGCTTCTCACTTTGCTTCTCACTTGTATGTGGCCCTGAATAATTTCTGTGCACCCTGGGCAGCCCCCGACCCAAAAGAGGTTCCCCACCCCTGCTCTAAGTAAAAGGACTGGCTATTGTACAACTATTGTTTCAGGTGCATGCAGGGCTAGCCCGAGCCATTTTTGCGCCCCAGGCCAGGGTACGCGGCGCTGCCCCAGGGTGCACGGCGCAGCCCGGCCCGGCCCAGCCCGGCCCAGCCACTGCTGCTGGCATGCAGCCCGGGACTGGCCGCGCCTGGCTGTGCAGGGCCCCACAGCCGTGGGGGAAAGGGCGCTGTTGGCCGGCGCCGCGGGGATGGGGGGCCGGCGCTGCGGGAGCCGGGTGCGCTGCACCTGATGGCAGCTAAAAGGGATGCTGTGCACCCCTTACAGCTGCCATCAGGCGCCCCCCCATTGGTTGGCGCCCTGGGCAGCTGCCCGGCTCGCCCACCCCTTAGTCCGGCCCTGGGTGCATGTCTACTCTACAAAAATGTAGGTAATTTAGTTGTACACATAAGAATCTTCATCAAGTACAGTTTTTCCACCTTACCCTTTAAATTTGAACCACAATCAAATATTTCCAGCCGAAGGGCATTAGATAACACTCTATCTTTGGAACTTTCATTTTCAGTTTCTTAATGACCTTCTCTCAAACAACTGACTGTCTTGAATTGCTGTTAAAGGAAATTGGTTCCATAGGTGCCAACCGGGTGGGTACTCCTGAGATGGAGCATTCACAGGAAAAAAAATAGTAGCTGATCAGCTCCTCCCACCCACCAGTTAACAGTTGTTCAGTGTCAGGCAGAAAGGGCTTGGAGGAGATGGCAGAGTGAGGGTGTGGCACAGCCTGGGGAGGGGGTGGAGCAAGGACAAAAGATATGGGGGGGCCTTGGGGGAAAGGGTGGAGAGGGGTGGACCCTGGGGCATAGTGGGGGTCAAGCACCCCAAGGAAATAAGGAAGCCAGTGCCTGTGATTAATCATAGTTTTAATTGCACTGCTAAACAGTAGAATACGAGTTGAAAATTATTAATTAATTGTGGATGTTTTGCTCCATTTTCAATTATCTCACAAAATATAAATGTATAGTGTTCACTTTATATAATTTGATTACAAGTGTTTGAATTGTAAAAATGCTAAACAAAATAAACAGTATTTTTCAATTTACTTCTTGCAAGTACTATAGTGTGATCTCTTTATAGTGAAAGTGCAATTTAAAAATATAGATTGTTACATAACTGCATTCAAAACCAAAACAACATAAAACTTCAGAGCCTACAAGTCCACTCAGTTCCATTGCTTGTTTGCCAAATTGCTAAGAGAACCAAGCTTGTTTACATTTGAGGGGAGACAATGCTGTCTGCTTCTTATTTATAACGTCACTGAAAGTGAGAGCAAGGCATTTGCCTGGTACTTTTATAGCAGGCATTGTGATGTATTTAAGTGCCAGATATGCTAAACATTTGTATGCCCCTTTATGCTTCAGCCACCATTTCAGAGGAAATGCTTCCATGCTGATGATGTTTGTTAAAAAAAATAAAGTTGTAATTAAATTTGTGGCTCAGCTCCTTGGGGGAGAATAGTATGTCTCCTGCTGTGTGTTTTATGCACATTTTGCCATATATTTCATATCATAACACTCTCAGATGATGTTCATTTTTAAAACTCAGTAAAGATTTGACAATAAGCAAAGAATGTACCAATGTGAAATGTATAAAGATAGCTAAAGCACACAACCCAAGTTTTAAGAATCTGAAGTTCCTTCTAAAATCTGAAGGACAAGGTGTGGAACATGTTTTTAGAAGTGCTAAAAGAGCAACAATCTGATGTGGAAACTACAGAAGCTGAACCAGCAAAAAAGAAAATCAGCCTTCTGCTGGTGGTATCTGACTCAGATGAAAATGAACAAATGTTGGTCTGCACTGCTTTGGATCGTTATTGAGCAGAATCTGTTAGCAGCATGGATACATGCCCTCTGGACTAGTGGTTGAAGCATGAAGGGACATATGAATATTTAGCACATCTAGCACATAAATATTTTGCAATATTGGCTACAACTAGGGATGTGAATGGCTAACCAGTAGTCACAGTCCCACAGGCTGGGGGCTGCCCCATCAAACCTGGAGTGGTTGCTTGTCCAGGCTCCCGCTTAGTCAGTTAACCAGTTAAACCTAATTTTAACTGGTTAAATAATGAAACGGAATTTTACATCCCTAATGAAAATGCCTGTTTTCACTTTCAGCTGACATTGTAAACAAAAGCAGGCAGTATTATTTCCTGTGCCTGTAAAAAAACTTGTTTGTCTGAGTGGACATGAAGTAGGACTAAATGGACTTTTAGCCTGTAAAGTTATATATTGTTTTATTTTTGAATGCAGTTTTTTGGTATATAATTCTACATTTGTAAATTCAACTTTCATAATAAAGAGACTGCACTACAGTACTTGTAGTAGGTGAACTGAAAAATATTCATGTTTTTACAATGCAAATATTTGTAATAGAATAAATTTAAAGTGAGCACTGTACACTTTGTATTGTGTTGTAATTGAAATCAATAGATTTGAAAATGTAGAAAATGTATTAAACATCAAAAATATTTAAATATATAGTATCTTACTTTAACAATGAAATTATGTGAATGTGATTTTTTTTATTGCATGATTATTGGCAATTATTTTTTAATTGCTTGACAGCCTTATTTAGAATATATGCTAGCAAATACCAGAGGTGAGGAAAAACCCATGTTTAATGGCAGTTTTTTTCCTAGTACTAGCCCCCTTCCAAAAAATATAGTATATTATACTATTAACTTGGAAAATAAAGTATTGTGAGTGCTACAAACTGTTAATACAAACCTGAGGGTTTCTGCTTCTTTAGGGCCCTGTTCTATTTAGAAAAAAGCAGTTGTTGCTTTATTCCTCTAATCCCTATGCAAATAAGTAATCAAAAAGAAAGTTTCTCTTTTCTAATAGGACAAAGAACTCAAAACTTCAGACTCTGAAAGAGACCCACTATATTTTGTTTCTGGTCAGAATTTAGTCTGTCTGGCTATGTCTACACTACAGAGAAGATTGAAGCTGCTGCTGTCGATCTTCCAGGGTTCGAATTAGCCAAAAGTCTTAAGGTACTCCAACTTCAGCTACGTAATTAATGTAGCTGAAATGGCATATCTTAACTTGACCTTATCCTATAATGTAGACATATCCTGTGTCCTTCGGAAACCCCTGACTATAGATAAAAATAAAAATACTGTGTCCCTAAATCATGCCTTTGCTATAGGAGTGTACTAATCCTTGCTGTGATGCTGCAACCTGCAAACTGAAGTCCGGATCACAGTGTGCTAAAGGGCTGTGCTGTGAAAATTGCAAGGTAGGCTGGAAGAGCCCTTTTTTGTTAATTTATGTTCTTAACTTAGCAGAATTAGTACTAATTAGTAGTTAATTTTTTTAATTTTTAGAATTGGCTCTCTCCCAGGCTACGTCTAGATTGGCCCCTTCTTCGGAAGAGGCATGCTAATTTCTAACTTTGGAATAGGGAAATCTGTGGGGGATTTAAATATCCCCCGCGGGATTTAAATAAACATAGCCGCTTTTTTTCCGGCTTGGGGAAAAGCCGGAAAAGAGCGTCCAGACTGGCGCGATCCTCCGCAATATTCCTAAGAGATCCTCCGGAATATCTTACTGCCCCTGTATAAAACTATGGTACACCCACATCTAGAGTACTGTGTACAGATGTGGTCTTCTCACCTCAAAAAGATATTTTGGCCTTGGAAAAGGTTCAGAAAAGGGTCCAAAGAAGGGGTCAGTCTAGACGTAGCCCCAGTGTCTTTAGACATCTGTACATACATTACCAAAGCTGCACTCAGGAGCAGAGACTAAAGTAGGGATAGTGGGTGAACAGCAAATCTTGGTTTGAGGATTCATGGCCTCATGTGTGCTCCTCAGTTTCCAAATGCAAGTATTGTCTCTGGCCTGACTTCTGCTACTAGGCTGAAGTAATTAGATGTCATGTAGCAGTGCTCTTGTTATCATAGGATCAAGTTTCTATGCATTGCCTGTCAGGCCCACCGATGAGGGGGAAAAAGGGGACAACTGCTGAAGGACAGCACTGAGGGATGGGTGGGGGATGCTGCCATCCAAGTGGTGCTGAGAACTGGATGCCCTTGGCCTTGCCCCTTCTGCCTGAGGCGATGCCCTTTCTGGGAGTAGAGAGCCATCCCGCCCCACCCCTTGCCCAGGGGCCCCTTGAGGCTGTTGGCTCCCTTGTCCCCTGCCTACTCATCTCTTTGTATCTGGTGCTTAAAAATGCCACACTGTGAATTAGTTCTGTGCAGGATCAAGCTCATCAATGGTATCAACATGGCATATAAAACTCATAGCAATGGCATACATGCTCTATATTAAGAAAGGGATAGAAAATAAGACACAGAATATCTTACTGTGCATAGTATAAAACTATGGTACACCCACATCTAGAGTACCGTGTACAGATGTGGTCTCCTCACCTCAAAAAAGATATTTTGGCCTTGGAAAAGGTTCAGAAAAGGGAAACTAAAATGATCAGGGGTTTGGAACAGGTCCCATATGAAGAGAGTCTAAAGCGACTGGGACTTTTCAGTTTGGAAAAGAGGAGACTGAGGGGGAATATGATAGAGGTATATTAAATCATGAGTCGTGTGGAGAGGGTGAATAAAGAAAACTTATTCATTAGTTCCCATAATATAAGGATTAGAGGACACCAAATTAAATTAATGGGTAGCAGGTTCAAAACTAATAAGTGAAAGTTCTTCTTCACACAGCACATAGTCAACCTGTGGAACTCCTTGCCGGAGGAGGCTGTGAAGGCTAGAATTATAACAGAGTTTAAAGAGAAGCTAGATAAATTCATGGAGGTTAGGTCCATAAAAGGCTATTAGCCAGGGGATAGAAATGGTGTCTCTGGCCTCTGTTTGTCAGAGGCTGAAGATGGATCATTGTCTTCAGTCCACCCCCTCCGGGGCACCTGGCATTGGCCACTGTAGCAGACAGGCTACTGGGCTAGATGGACCTTTGGTCTGACTCAGTACGGCTGTTCTTATGTTCTTATATATTGATATGAAGAGCTATTTCATCTTCCTCAAATTTACAAGCATATATTCTTTACCAACCTATTACATAATCATTATGTGCCTGAAGGAACAGAATCTGGACACTGTATGTGAAGCAAGCAGGAGAGTTCATTACACACACAGCACTGTCGGAGTGTCACATTGCTTGTTAGAACTCAGTGAACACTGCCAAACAATAGGTTACAACTAATTATATAGGATGCTCAATGGGCAGATCAAAGTGAAGGAGGGGGAGGTTAAGATCCTGGACCCCTGTATAGGTGCTAATTGTGAGGCAAAATAAGAGTAATAATATAAAGTTACATAGTGTTTCCAATAAAATAAATATTTAAACAAAGCAAACATCAATTACCAACTATGTGTTGAGTGGTGATATGTCTGTCTGCTTCAAGAAGGTGTCTCTGCAGGGATGTGGTCCATCTGGGGATTAGAGCAGAGACATTAGGAGTATTTGACAATGGCACATTTGTTCCTAGCACCATTGAATGTGTCTTCTCCTGTCTCCTATCCTGGGCTAGGTGTGTATGTGGGGGGGTGGTAACCACATGTACTGTGTTTGTGTGCCAGTCCCAGACTCCAAATTTACAATAGGGGTTCTTAACAGAATATCATAGCCTGCCTTAGAAATTTTCATCCTACAGTGCCTTTGTATTAAATGTGTACTGTTGCAAAATAAAACAGTAATTTTCTGTTCCATTTCTAGTTTAAAGTGGCGGGAATGGAATGTAGACCAAAAATGAATTTCTGTGATCTACCTGAATACTGCAATGGGACAAATCCATACTGCCCAGATGATGTATATTTCATGAATGGCTTCCCATGTAATGACATGAAAGAATATTGCTACGGTGGGGTTTGCCAGAATTTTGATTCACAATGTGAATCCATCTACGGAAAAGGTACTTTTAAAATGTTTGAGTATCTGTGAAGCAGAATTCATATTAATAGGGAAAACCTCCTTTGTTGTGCATTGTACCTAGGATTTAAATAGCCATTGTGGAATATTCTTTTTTATTTAATATATTAGTTGTTAAACATTTGATATTATTTTATAGGGGCAAGAAAAGCACCTGATATTTGTTTTCAAGTAGCCAACATGAAGGGAGATAGATTTGGAAACTGTGGAATGTCAGGTGGTGTGTACAATAAATGTCCCACTGAGTAAGTGACCAGCAGGTATACATTTAATATAATCTTTCCTCCTGTTATTTATTCATATAAACAGTACCATAATGTAGAATATATTTTTATATAAATAATGCTTACATGCTTCACTTCTTTGGCCTACCTTAGTTATCAAAATTCCTTACTTAAATCTTCCTTTTTATTAGTCTGCTTTAAGTTGTTGATTAAACAATTTATTTAAAACAATATTAGCAGTGTGTATGAAACTCAACTTTACTTAAGTGATCTTTTGAAGAAACTGAACCAGATTCTTACCTCTGAACTAGCCCTTTTGTGCTTTTGAGGCAATGTAAAGGAGATACAATCTGGCCAGTACTTGATCAGCTGACAGGTATCTTGCGGGATAGGAGCTCTTCAATGGCAGAAAGTTGACCCACCTAGTTCCTGTATCACCCATCCTCCCAGCATGGCATAGAGGGTGGGAGGGAATGTCAGAGGCTGTACTTCACTTCTCAGATTGTATATAGACCTTAGATCAGTTCATGGTCCTCTAGTTTACATGGAAGTTGGGGGAAGATCAGGCCCTAGAATCAGGTAGCTATAAACAGCACATCTTGGCACAGGAGAAAGTCTGACCCATCATCAGTCGTATTTATAAATAAATGACCTACATTGTACCCTTCCTTGTAAAAAATAAAAAAGTATCATAGGAAAGCCAAAGGTATGCATTAAACAGCATTATATAGTTTACTAGAAGCTCTACCTGGTATTGCTCAAGTCCTTAACTCGGTTATTTTTTGTTTTTCTTCATTTAAATCATTGCTCTGGAGTGGCACTGGGGAAGAGGGGGTCGTTATACAGACTGCCCAAGAGAGAGAGAACTACTGCAGCCCTCTCTCACTGCAGCAGTTTGGGCCTAGGCAAGAAGCGCCTCTCCATGGCTGGTGCAGGGCTGCTCCCAGCTGGTGTAAGTTCTGGTTTGTCTACCCCTTGTGCTCCCCAGCAAGAGTGAGGAATGCAGCACACTGTGCACTTTCTCCTCACTCCCTGATGAAGGGGGACAGCCCGCAATGTTCCAATGTGAATTGGGAGAGAAGGGAGCTTCAGCCTCCTAACCCTCCCAAAAGAGCTGTGGGGAGTGGGTGGCGCAGGGAGTGGTGCCCCAAGCCATCCTCTTTCATCTGTCGGGTGATTCTATCTCTTTTCTGTATGGTTTTATGAGAAGCAATCCCATTCCAGGCACATTCCATTTTCTTGGCATAACCAAACCCTTACCTTGCATTTAGTTATGATAAGAAGAAGCTGTATACAGGCAACCCCCACTTATAACCTAATTGGTTCCTGAAGAACCGTCGTAAGTCAAACCCTTATTTTCCATAGGTGCAATGTTATAAATGGTGGTTCCGTTCCTGGAAACCCATTTCATACCCTAAAAAATACCAAAATTGACTATGGAAATGAAGAAAAAATGACCTAAATAGTTCAAATAATGCACAAAAATAACTAAAAAGTGAAGACTGATGTGGCAGAGATGCGCACAGTTCAAGCAGCAGCTACAAACTGACGAGTTTGATTGACCTTGTGTATTTCCTGTTTTGAGATGATGAGTGGAGTCTGCGTCATACGCTGTCGTAAATGCAAGCTGTGGACGTAAATTGGGATTTTTTAAGAGCTATCTCGCATGAAAAAATGGTCATAAATGTGGGGGGTCATAAGTTGGGAGATCATAAGTTGGGGGTCACCTATACTGAATTTGGTGGTCCTAGTATAACATTAATAGGCAGAACTGAACTTGGGACCTCCCTCTGGTGCTTAGTGCATGAGCCTCTACAGCAGGGGTGAACAAGATTACCTTTTGCAGGCCGGATCTGGCCACGCCACTGGAATCCGAATGGAACCGAGCGAAGCTAGTCGCATTAGAACAAGATTACCTTTTGCAGGCCGGATCTGGCCACGCCACTGGATCTGGCCATGGACCCCTTGTTGGGACTCTCAGTTAGGGTACATCTACACTTGTTCCCTATCTCAAGATAGGGATGCAAATGTAGCTGACCGAAATTGCTAATGAAGTGGGGATTTAAATATCCTACGCTTCATTAGCATAATCTCGCCCATGCACTATTTTGATCGCCAGCTGATTTGAACCAGTAAGTGCGCTCCAGGCCGCGTTAGTTCGAATCAAATCCCTTTATTAACGTTAGTTCTAACCAAGGGGTTTGATTCAAACTAACGCGGCCCAGAGCGCACTTCCTGGTTCGAATCAGATAGCAATCAGAACAGCGCGCTAGTGAGATTATGCTAATGAAGCACGGGATATTTAAATCCCCGCTTCATTAGCAATGTTAGTCAGCTACATTTGCATCATTATCTTGATATAGGGAGCGAATGTAGATGTACCCTTACACAGCAGACATTGTTTTAAGTATAAGGCTGCTCCGTGTGAGTCTCTGCTTGGAAGGGAAGGAGAAGTTTTGTGCAATCTCCCGCTACCAGCCCAATCCTCAGCTCCTATTGGCCAGAAAAATGACCCATAGGAAATGAACCCAGCCAATCTCTCAGCTCCTATTGGCTGGAAACAGCCAGCCAATCAGAGCTGAGAGATTGACCTGAGAGACAGGGGCAGTCGCCCTGTGTCGCCACATGGAT